ATTTTAGCTGTTAGGGAGAATTTCATATGAATAAAAGCTGACTATTATAAGCACCCCCAGGAGTGTTATATGGTTTGTTTTAACGATAAGTGAGCCTGGACTTGGCGCGCATCCAGTTTGCCTGAATTTGCCCTAGTCTGCACAGAACTGTGGCATCTGGCAGTCAGCATTTTGAGCGGGCTTGGGCAAACTGAGGCAAACTGGATTTGCACCAATCCCAGGCTCATCACTGGTTCCAACCTCTGTAACTGTTACTTTTGCTGGACAGCTTGGTATGCATTTAAACATGGGAAAGAATATAAAAAGAGGCATTGGAAATATTAATAAATCCATACACTGATCACTAACATTACATGTTACCCCTGTTTACCCCTTTCCGTTACCTGAAGGCAATTTTTCCACTATAGTGGGGCCTTTAAAGTGGAGCTCTGCACTAAAGTAAAAAATGAGCAAGAAAGTTTTTTCTTAATTGCAGAAGATGTACAAGGTCTCTTTTCCAATAAACGTTCCTTGCACAATGTTTTATATTGTGCACTGAGCTGCACATGCATTGTACATTCCTGGGATACCTTAGTGCCGGGATGACACATGTGCACAGGAGCTGCATCATCCCAGCCCAGCCAATCAATATGGCTGTGTGTGCAGGCCTAAATGAAAATGCGACGAGTGGAGAATAAAGAAACAGCCTTAAACTCCAGGCTTGTGTAAAAACAGTGCAAAGGAAACTACAGTGAGTGGCCATATCATTATGACCACCCCATCAGTACTCCGTTGGGCCACGAAATGACTTAGTTGGGCCGCCTCGTGACTCCACGAGATGTTGAAAGGTGATGCGAGGAATCTGACACTGCACTGTTGCCCTTCTGTTGTCTTGTACCAGTCTTGCCACTCTCCGTTCTGCCCTAGCATTGACTAGTCGCTGACGGCCACAATTCGCACGTTCAGACCCAGATTTTCGGCTCACAGTCCAGTCTTTAAACACTTTAACAACAGCTGCTCTTGAACATTTAACAAATTCTGCTGTTTTGCTGATACTCGCTCCATGACTCCGAGCGCCAACAATCACCCCACGTTCAAAGGCTGTTAAATCGCGTTGTTTCCCCGTATCTTCAGAAACAAATCACTTCTACTGTCGTGGTAAACAACCCGCTTCCCTATTTATAATGGTCTGGCCCTCTAGCAACTTCAGCGCGAAATTATAGCTAATTTGCCTACAAACGTCAGGTGGTCATAATAATCTGGCCACTGAGTGCATATATACCTCTATCGTTAGGCAGAAAAAACTATTGAGATTGCTGTGCCTTTTAAGGGCCTTAGTGTCAGGTGATGCAGGGCATGCTGGGATTTTAAGTTCTGTAATAGCAGGAGTGGTGTCTGTTTCCTAGCAATGTATGAGACATGGGCAGCCCTCATCAGCAGCAGTTCTCTTTAACATTAAATGCACCAGCATGCTTTTTTTTTAAAAATATCTTTGCAGTGATGCCTATCCATCGTCTTAATGAATCTGCTCCTGTGTAATCCTATCAGTAGTACATTGGCTTTATTGCAATTAATGATGTTTAACTAAGAAGGGCCGTTTTGTCACTGCTTTTGTCTGGATTAGGAAGGGTGAAGGAGAAAAGCTTAGACAAACCTGCAGTGTTCCTATAGGAAGCATTATGCCCGCAGCTCGTGAGCACAATTATTTGAAGCCAAGATGGACAGCACTTAACAAGTTTCTCTGAGAGTGTGGCCCATCTCAGCTGCAGGCAGCCCAACAAATGTGCAGTCACAGAGTTACCCTTTCTTTCCACAGATCTATAATGTTTAATTGTTCGGTGCTCTCTTTATTCTAGCTTGGGTACCCATAGATATATTAGATGCTTTCTTAATCGTCGTGATTAAATGTTAAGGATACAGGCTTTTATGCTATCACATAATGTGACCTTGTTTTATAATGAGGTGCAGTTAAAGTGACATTAAACCCTCAGATTTTTTAACATAAACCAATACTGTAATGTGTGCCTTACTGTAATCCATGGTAGTTTCCCTTCTCTTTGCTGCTCTTCCTTTTAAATCCTCATGTCTTCTAATGCTTGGGGAGAACTTCCCTTTGCAGCTGAGTGCCTCTTCCTGTAGTGCTGGCTCAGGTTGCAAACCTACACATAGACACCATGTATCCATTCCAGAGACAAGGCAGTCTGCTGCAAAACAGAAGTTCTGCCCAGCATGAGAAGAGATACGGATTTAAAAGGAAGAGCAGCAAAGAGAAGGGAAACTACCATGGATTACAGTAAGGCGCACATTACAGTATTGTTTTATGTTAAAAAATCTGAGGGTTTAATGTCACTTTAAGCTGGCTATACACCTATAGGTTATCTGCAGATTTTCTGTGGTCAGACAGGAAACCTGAAAAGTGGAACAGATTCCCCCATCTACGCTAAATTGTGGATGGAGGAATCTCCCGCTGGGCCACCCTTCAGTATCTTGCTGGTCAGCCCCGCTGGCTCTCAAAATACCTGAACAATCTGATTGGATGCAGGCATTGTTCAGGTATTTTGAGAGCCAGCGGGGCCGACTAGCAAGATACTGAAGCTTGGCCCAGCGGGAGATACATCCATCCACACATTAGCGTATGTGGAGGAATCTGTTGCCCTTTTTCCATCTGACCATAGAAAATCTGCAGATAATCGGTAGGTACGGCCAGCTTAAGGGTAGCGGTACATGGCTAGGTTTTTTTTCGTTCAGAAAATCGATTCCTCCATCCACGCTAAACAGCATGGATGGAGGAATCTTCACTGCCAGCGATTGTATTCAGAGAGCCAACACCCACAACAGCCTGAATACCTGAACTGTGACTTGACGATTTTCTTACAGGGTAAAAGTGACACTAAACTCAGGAGTTAAATCTTAAAAAACATTCAAGTACCTTAACTATTAACAGAAATGTATCTTATTTGTATATCACTCGGCTGTAGATCCTCCAATCATCTCCGAATTGGTGCTGACACTGTCCTTCCTTCTGGAGGGTGACTACTTTTGTTCCCCATGGTCCCTGTGTGTGTTGTAAAGTAGTCACCGCTCCAAGCTCACTCCTGGGATGGACTACAATCTCAATACAAATGAGTAAACTAAACATGAGATTGTAGTCCATCCCAGAAGTGAGCTTGGAGCGGTGACTACTTTACAACACACACGGGGACTATGGGGAACAAAAGTAGCCACCACATAATCTTTTGCTTAGACCAGCCTTTCTCAAACCTTTACTCCAGAGGAACCCTTTAAAATAATTCTCCTAGGGAAACCCTGCTAAAATGCATCTGTCTGGGGTCTATGGAAATACTGTACTATTTTTTTTGTAAATTGAATGCCATTATTTGGTTTCTCCCCCCAGGTTCTGCACCCATTGTACATCCCTTGCACTCAGGCATGGCTCTGCCAAACCACTTGAAGCCGCCAAAGACCATTAAGAAGAAGAAGAAGAAGTCTCCAGCTGTTACAAGTGCAGAAGGGACAGAGAAGCCGATTTCTGCCACAGTGGAAAAACATGTTGAAAACGTACAGGAGAAGATTATTAAGAAAGTGAATGAGGAGAAACATTCAGAAGCTGGTAAACTGTTGTATTTAATTTTCTTGCTTATACAGCACTGACACTTTGTGCAGAGAACATTGAACAATCCATCAATTGTCATGTTTTAAGAGTGGTTTACAATCTAATGCCCCCACTATGGTCCTATACAAAAGGGGCCAGTATGGATTTTAAGCCAGTAAATCTGTCAGCATATTTTTATATTGTAGGTGGAAACCAAAACACCTGCAGGAAACCCTGATAAACATAGGGAAAACATGCAGACAGATAGTGTATTTGGGTGGATAGTGGGAACTGGGTGGAATATGCCAGAGCTGCAAGTCAGGAATTTTAACTACTTAATGCCTGCAGACTTTTGCCATACTCTCTTTATAGCCAAAAGTAGGTGGACAGCCCTTCAGATTATTGAGTTCAGGGTTTCCAGTGACAAATACCCACAGATACAGTCCAAAACCTTGTGGAAAGCCCAGAAGAATGGATTCTTGGATCCTATTGGAGTCCAGCATGCCAACGTGGGCTCCACATCCCCAACACATGTTGGTATGTTAAGGGTTCATCTTATGTAAACGGATGGGGGTCATATACCACCTAGCAAGCAATGTGTACCCTGATTCTTGGATCCTATGACTGTTGACAAGGAATAGGAGTAACAGGATCCTTACTGAGATGTATCTCAGTCAACCTTTGACAGATGTCAATTAATGGCTGCCAGTTTGAAGAACCAGGCATTGCCATAAGATGTGTAAGAGCATGTTACACATCTTTTGGTGTGTTGGTATGTTATGGGTTCATCTTATGTAAACGGATGGGGGATCATGTACCACCTAGCAAGCAATGTGTACCCTGATTCTTGGAGCCTATTGGAGACCGAGAATTTATGTGAGAATAAGGAATACAGTCATTTTGGTTTTGAGTTAAAGTCTCTCGCAGATAAGGAGGTGGGGAAAGGTTGTCCGCATCCTCAAGAAGAGAATGTGCAAGAGAGTGTGTCTTTGGGGGGAGGACTAGGTGCACATTTTTTTAAAAGGTGTTATGTTTTTGGAAGAGACGTTTATTGTTCAGCATAGATCGGAGGTAGTGCAAGAGTTGGAGAAGCCTCCAGTCATTCAGTTTGGTAGCAAACTTTGTCTTGAGAGCCGTTGGTGTCAGAAATGTCTACTTCGGTGAAATGAAAGGCTCTGGAGGAACCTAATTTCATCAGGTTATGGAAGGGGGGCATCAGTATATCCAAAAGCACCATTTTATGTCTTTGATTGCCTTGCCAGTTTGACAAAAATTAATTTGCAAGTTTGATTGCTCTAATATTTTGCATATTGTGTGTACGACCAGCTTTATTCAGTTGATTACACATTCCGCTCCCCATCTTACAGATTGTGTGGTCTGTGGTGAACTTAAAGTGCATTAGACGGGTAATGCAGTTTCTTCAATACAAGTGATTTTCATATGCTTTAGATATAATCTATGTTTTCTTTGTTTTCTATTTACAAACAGGAGTTACAAAGCCAGAAAAGAAAGGGAAGACCGAAGACAAATCATCATCCTCACCGTCATCATCATCATCTGGTAACCCCATTGTTTCCGTCCTTTATGTTTCTTTAGAAAGCTGATATTTGTACTGATAACAGATATGAGGGCATTGGTACTGGGTGGAGATTATCTTCTGATGATTACTCCTACACCTTCACAGGTAAAAAGAAAGATAAAGACAAAGAGCGGAAAGAAAAGAGAGACAAGGAGCACTCCAAATCAAAGCAAAAGAAGAAGAAAAAGAAGAAGAAGAAAAGCAAACAACATGGTATGCTCATTTTTAAAGCAGACATGACTATTAAAAATGAGCAAGGTACCTTAATATTTTTGGAACGATTGCCCCATCGTAAATAGCTGCTTTTAAATTCAAAAAGAAAAAAAAAACTGTGATAAAAAGTTAGTACATATTTTTCTGTACTGCAGGGCGCATAATAGCACAATCCTTCTGGTGCGATCCCAGAGAATGTAGAGTTGCCAAAATCTCACTAGAGGATACTGCAGCACAGTGCAGGAGCACCTTTTCACAAGATTTGGGATACTCCGCATTCCCTCGGATCTTGCTGAATGGATGGTGCAGTCACTCTCCCTCATAGGTGTTGTGGGTGGAAGAGTAAGGCAAGTCTATTTATTGACTCTTGCCTACAGTTTTTTGTTTTTTTTATTTTAAACCAAAACTCCGGGGGGGGGGGGGAGAAATGACCCTTGCAGTAGGGCTCCCCCCACACTGTAAGGGATACATTCTCATTTTTGGCTAGGGTAACATTAGAAAAAGCACTTTTACTTACCTTATCCCTGGCTCACGCCGCCTCCTACTCTCTCTGCCGCTCACCCTTCCACCTTGTAGATGGTGGAAGGGTGAGCTTTAAAGCAGCTATTCATGATAGGTGAGGAACCCCATTGTATTAAACAGACTTTGTATTTTTACTGCAAGGTCCGCATTAAATACTCCTCTCTCCATCTTGTGTAGATTGACAGGTACTCTTAAAACCATGGTAAGAAACTAAAGTTTCCACACGAGTAAAAACATGATTATTGATATTGAACAATGTTTTAAAATATGTTTTATGAAATCTTTCCTTAACTCCATCCAGATTTCTTTTAAAGATGTAAGTAAAGGTTGGTATTTTTTCTGCACTCTCTTTCAGAAGAGATCAGGGAACCAGTATCGCCTAATAGGAGGATAGCCAGCAGTAAAAACCTGTGGTTCTAAACCGTTCTCACTTTTGTTTTTTGGTGTTTGTCTCTGTCCCCAGTGGAGAAAGTTCCTCTCACTTCCTGCCTGTCACACCCTGCCACCAGGACAGGAAGTAAGAAATCCACCCAATGGGGGCACAGGCAAGCTTAAATAGAGGTTGTAACCATTCCCCACACCCAAAAATAGTTGAAGTTACAAGTCCTAAAGTGATATTAAACCTTCCTTTTTATTTCTTTTTATGGTAAGAAGGGTGATATTTTCATGAAAATGCTACCCTTCTTCTTTAAATCTATTTCTGTTCTTATTCTCCAGCTGATCCCCAAACTGCTCTCTCCATCCCGCCTGTTGCGGTTGTCTCCATCTGCTTGCTGGGTGCTGAGGAGACACCCTGTGGCTGCAAGTAGCTGTGTGTTTCTATAGACACACACACAGCATGCAGCAAGTCACGTCCCTTCTCTCCTCCCAACAGATTGACTGACGGCAGAAGGAGCCAATCGCTCCTCTGCCCTCAGTACTCTCCCCCCAGCAAGCAGGAAGTTCGGAACAGAGGATATCTTCAGGGACCCCTTAGCGGTGACAAGTGAGCACAGGTAAGTGTGAACTTAGGGCAACTTAGAAAGGTACTGGGCGTTTTTTACCTTAAAGCAGAGAATGCATTAAGGTGAAAACACTCTGCCTTTAGTACTACTTTAATTTCCCCTTGTCCCTCACACAGTAGCTGGAGTTTTAAAGCATACGGGATGCCGGAATAAGAAAAAGAAAAGAAAGCAGGAATGATCAATACAAATCTCATCTGTCCTCTTATTACATGAGCCTTGGGTGGGTGTTGTGTTTAAACATCAGTATCCACATGTATCCAGATTCACACTTGAGATGCATTAAATTCTTTTAGAGTTCAGAAATGGGAGTTTCGGTTTTCATAGTAAATAGCCATACACACTATGTGGAAACACCTCCAAATTGAGTTCTGTTAATGCTACAAGATGCAAAGACATTTAGACAGTTGTATGCCTCCAGCCTTGTGGTAATGGTTTGGTGAAGACCCTTTTCTATTCCAGCTTGACTCTGCCCATATATGCAAAGCCAGCTCCATAAAGACATGGTTTGATGAGTTTGTTTTAGAAAAACTCAAGCTGCAGCAAGCCCTGACCCCAACCCTACTGAACACCTTGCAATGAATTGGAAAGCCTATTGCGAGTTCGATTTTCTCAGCCAACATCATTTCCTGACCTCACAGATGCTCTTTTGGCTGAATGGGGCACACATTCCCAAGCATCCAATTTTTTGTGGAAAGCCTTCCTAGAGGATGAAAAGCTATTGTAGGCACTGAGGGAGGTCACCTCCACATTAATGCCCATGGTTTTGAAATGGGAAGTCGAATAAGGTCATATTAGGTGGTGATGATCTGGCGTCCACAAACATTTGCCCATATAGTGTAGCATGGAGGTGTCGCGGATCCCATCCCATCCAGTGTTGGCAGCTACCATTGCTTCGCTCATGGTAATTGTTGAGCAGGTACTTGACTTTGATGCTACAAAAATACAGAACTAGATGAGATCCCTGACAAGATCTAGCCAAAAGTAGGCTGAGGTTTGTATTAGCTTGAAAACAAGTTTTTTTTTCTTTCTTATCCCCACAGCATCTTCTTAAAGTGTATTCATTGCTAACTAAATAATCCTTTTTTTCCTCCCAAAACCTTCCCCTTTTTTTTTTTCCTATTTACATTAATTATTATTTTTTTATTCCTGTATTAATACAAAGTTATTCATGTTGGCAGATTATTCTGAATGTGAAGAGAGCTCCCTAGACTTGTTGGAGCGAAGCTCATCTCCTGTTTCGCTGTCCACCTCTAGCTCCGTAGCTGTGAATAACATCTCGGCAATAAAGAATACCTCCTTCCAGTTCCCACGGGCTATCTTGTCTGTCGACCTCACTGGAGAAAGTACGTATAACTCCAGATTAGACAAGTGCGGGCACCTTTGCGCAAAGTAGTCAGTTTGCTGGTATTATAGACCTTTTTCACTTCTCGGGACTTTAAGGCTGGGTTCACACCTAGGCGTATCGAATATGCGCGTTTGTCGCGTGATTCGCGGTAAAAAAAACCGCGCGACAAACACGCGTTTCCGAGGGCTACTTGGCTGTATCCCAATGGAAACGCGCAACAAAAACGCCCCAAAGAAGCTCCTGTACTTCTTTTGGAGTAGGACGTTTTGTAGCGCGTTCATACGGCCTTTAATACGCCCAGGTGTGAACCATACCCAAAGGAAATAATGGGATTTCGGTGTTTGAGCGTTTTGCATAGCGTAGGAACGCGCTACAAAACGCCCAGGTGTGAACCAGGCCTTAGGGGTTTAACCCCTTCATGACTGAGGCCCTTACGCAGAAGCGATCTGGCGACAGGTAAGTCGCCAGGATCGCTTCTGTTGTAAAGCCGACAGTCGGCTCTACACAGTCGCCGACAGTCGCCGGGAGTCTGTTTAAACAGCCCCGATGCTGGCGACGTACACTGTACGTCGTCAGTCACGAAGGGGTTAAACATACTAGAGATGAGAAGAGGTCCAAAAATTATGGTTTACCCCTAAGAGAACGTTCACATCTAGTGCACTGGGGTAATGCGATCTGTATGCCCAGTGCCATTTATTTTAAAGGGCACACCAACACGCATACACAATGCACCACTGTTACAGTGTGTAAGAACGCATCAAGGCTGGCTGTGTAAGGAAATGAGAACAGGTTTGTCAAACTATAGTGTTTTTTTGGGCTGCAGACGGCCCTCTTGCTCCTTGTCTCAGGCCCTCAAGGGTTTAGAAATTTAACACACAGGCACTGGCAGCTAGAAAAAACGCAGAATTAACCAAACGCCTAGACCTTACTTCATATGACCAGCAGTAGAGTGAAGTCGGGTATACACACTTCCTATAAATACAACATAATCTTCCATCAATGCTTACAAGCGTTGATTGAGGAATCTCATGCTGTTTCCTTTGTATGGTGGCCGCTGTCAGAGTACCCGCACAGAGTTGGCAGCTCATTCGCTGCTAGCTCTGTTCCGGTGACAATTTTTTTCCGAAATGCTCCTTTGATCGGCTTATTGAGGGACGCCGGTCAGAAAGGTGCTGACAGTGGCGACCACACGTCGAATTTCTGCTGTCATTAAGAACCTGCTGAAATTCGAACCTTGTATTCCCGACTTAAGATTCTCTTCTAAATATACACATCAATTAATTCCATGCAGTAGATGTCTAGAAATGTAATGTGGGATGCACCGATACCGGTTTTTCGATATCGGGTATGAGTACTGATATTTACTTTTTCACTACTCGCCAATACCGAATACCAGTGTCGTGTGCCCTGATTATCAGAAAGCCGGGCGGCGGACCATGACCTGCAACCCGGCTTCCCGGCCTGGGTCATGACGTGCCGCCCGACTTTATGATTGGTTAGGAAGCCAGGCTGCCTAGCAACAAGTGAAGCCAGCTTCCTAGCCAATCATTAAGCCGGGAGGTGGGTCAAAACCCGCCGCCTGGCTTCCTGATTGTAAAGGAAGCTGTCTCCATGCTCCCTCTGACCGGAAGTTCCAGTATCGGAGGTAAGTATTGAAACATTTGGGCGAGTACGAGTACCTGCCCGCATACTCGGTATCAGCACCGATACTAGTATCGATATCAGTGCATCCTTAAATGTAATGTATCCCTAGGGATTAAGATGTAAGAATGCATCATGTCAATGCCCCTGTCAGGACATGTGATGGGGCAGTTGTGTGTGTGTGTGTGTGTGTGTGTGTATGTGTGTGTATATATATATATTCTGTATAGATAAACACACAAACCATGTTGTACTTCTAAATATCAAATAGTTGTTGTCACAAGATAAAAAAACAGTGTTGATTTAGTCGTTACAAGAGCAGCGGAGTGATACTTTTGTTTTGAGCAGACTTTTCCGACATGGAATTTTTCGATGACTCCTCCACCGAGAGTCTGATCCTAAGTGGAGATGAGTACAATCAAGAGTTTGACTCGACTAACTTTGAGGAATCTCAGGACGAGGAGGAGGCCATGAGTGAGATCGTCAGATGCGTGTGCGAGATGGACGAAGAGAACGGCTTCATGATTCAGGTGGGGCTCTCTCTGAAACATATTGAATAAGGCAACAACAATTAATGATAATGAACAAAATGCAGTAACCTAAAACATCTGGGTTTCATTTTATTATTGACAAATGAGATCAATGATT